CACATGCTTCCCTAGGGATGGGCATCAGGATTTGATATTCTAAATAAGTACCAATTACCTTAAAAGATTCAAAAGAGTCACTAACCCAATCTTCAACAGGAAGAGACCCTGTCCCAGCTTCATGTCCGGCTTCTACATGACTCACTTCTGCATTTGGTCTTGGAATTAAATCTATTTTACCTGAGCAATGGTGCTTGTAATCTCATTGGTTGATAATAGTTTTGTCCCAGCTCATGCCCATCTAAGAGAGTTCCCATGTTTTTCACCTTAGATCCACCCTACCACATGGTTTTTATAAAAATCCCTAGAAGGGACAGAATCCAGGGGCAACTCACTCAGGTCCCTCCTTCTGTCCCTCTCTCAGACAGAGGCTTTCATTTCCCCAATAAATATATTCTGCTCTTAACCTTCGTTGTTCCTAAAATTCATTCTTTGGTTTTCGAGAACACGAACTTGGCCCAGGTATCTTTCACATTGGAAATTTCATTTCCCCTATATCAATTTGAGACATTTGTAGGAAAATGGATGCATCTGGAAAATATAATGTTTAATGCAACAGACCAAATAAACAAGCTTAAATATTATATGTTATTTCTCATTTGAGTGAGGCAAAGTAGAAACAGCATAAAAATGGATGGATAGAGGGCCTAGGAGATGTACCTCACACAATAACGACATGGTCCAGGGGTAAAAACATGAGGGGTAAGGAAGAAGCGAACTCCATGTACAGGAACTTACCCTTAATGAAAGTGAACATCATATGCTATAGAATGAGGTAAGACTAATAATGTCAAGAAGAATGAAAAAGGGGCCAAGGGAGATAGCTCAGTAGAATAAGCACTTGCCTGGCAAACGCAAGGACCTGAGTTCAATCCCCGGTTCCAAAAAAAAAGAATTTTGGGGGCCGGGGAGATGGCTTAGTAGAATAAGTGCTTGCCTGGCAAGCGCAAGGGCCTGAGTTCAATCCCCAGTAGAAGAAGGAGAAGAAGGAGAAGAAGGAGAAGAAGGAGAAGAAGGAGAAGAAGAAGGAAGAAGGAAGAAGGAAGAAGGAAGAAGGAAGAAGGAAGAAGGAAGAAGGAGAAATGAGATAGAGAAATTGGAGGAGGCAGGAAGGGGGAGGGATGTGGGAGGGGATTAAAAAAGAAACAAGCAGTGACACATGTGTACATGTGACCACTCTCCAAGGCAACTGTAAACTCCATGAATTTCCAACATGGACTAACAAAAGAAAAAACATCTAAAAAAAAAAAAAAAAGAATACTTTTAGAAGTGCTTCAGAAAGTGACAAGAGGGATGGGAAGATAGTTTGGCAGTCTAAGCACCTGCCTGGCAAACACAAGGACCCAGGTTCGATCACTGGTACTGCATGGCACACTGGCCCCAGAAAACCCAGAGTGGTGGCGCACTTCTGTAATCCTAGCACTGGGGGGGCTGAAACTGGAGGATCACTGTCAGTCCAAACTATGTAGCCAGATCCTGTACCAAATAAAGAAGTAAAATATTTTTTTTTAAAAAAAGTGGCAAGAACGATGGGATAAACATATTTAGTGAGGGGGACTATTTTGAGGGTGGTTAATGGCAATTGGCCTTTTACTGTAACATACTTTTTAAAATTTATGCATTCACTATATTTTATCACATTTTGTATAAATAGCACAGACCCTAACTTTAAGACAATATAAGGTAAACGTGAAGGACATGGTTTGAACAGAGAGGTACAAGGTCAGTTCTGGCTTCCTCCTTTGCAGACATAGGTACATTATTTCACCTTTTTGGAATTTATTTACTTTTACTTACGCTCCCCATCAATAGGGCTCATAAATATCTACTCACACTACATAACATTAAGGTAAAGTTTTAAACACTTCTTAATTCTAGGTATGGTCTCACTCAAATCTGACTAACTCTCCTAATTTTACCTCATGATGTTCTCTCAATGAGGAATGTGCAGCCTTGTTTAGGAATAGATAGCTGACACTATAGGGCAAGGTGCAGGGGGCGACAAACCACAGTGTTACTGTAATCTGTGTTACTTGGAATAGTAAAGAAAGGCTTTCTCGAGGAACACAGGGATTTTGAAGGGCATATAAATATATACAAGCTTAAATATCACATGGTTTCTCTTATATGAGAAACACAAAGTGCAACATAAAGAGCAAAATAAAAGAGTAGGTAGTAGGAAGTTGAATGACAGATCTTAATGGGGAAGAAGGGGATCAAGAAATGGAGGAGATAGGAGGGAGGGAAGGGAAAAGGGATGAAAAAAGAATGTGTTAAGTATTTGCACTAACTTGCCACAAAGAATGTAAACATTATGTAATACAAGTATGTACTAATAAAAAATGTTTACATTTAAAAAATACCCTAGAGATAAAAGTAGGCTGAGAGCTTCATGGGCTTCCCACTCCAACTCTTTCATGTGGCTTTCGTACAGATAAACTCAGCTTGGAAAAGCAAGCACCAAATAATCAAGTTTGCCAAGTGCTGATGCTGCTTTTATTTAAATTGACAACTTAAGACAAATGAGATAGTATGTCTTATATGCAATAATTTTTTAAATGTATAAATAAATATAAAGGGTAATTATAACCAAGAGGAATCTGAAAAGAAAACTAGATAGGAAAAAAGAAGTTGAGCTATGTACTCATATCAGATAAGTACGTAAAACCTTTGAAATTATGGCATTCATAACCAGTATGTTAGATTTACAGTCATAGCTGTTGCTCTCAATCCAACCTCCTGCCTTATATTTATCAACTTTATAGTCACATGGCATCTCTACTTTTAATGATATACAATATTACTGTCCCATAATCTTATCGGATGAAATTTTGAATACATCATAACTATTCAGAAGTCTTTTTTTTCTGGAAAGTTGAGTCTATGTTCAGTCTTTTCTGAGTTACCGAAGTATAACAACATGTAATTTAGGAAATTTCTCAAAATTCACTTTTGGTATTTTCAGATTAATTCAAAGTGGTTTATATATAATCCCCCAGAACTATTGTGCACATTCTTTAAGGAAAAAAGAAAACATTCTTTGCTTTGAAATATCCACTAGATGAGGCTAACCCTCCATTTACTATATATGAGGAATGCAGTTATAGAAAAATCCACTCAAATCTTGGAAACTTTTTTGGGTTTTCAGACCCGCTGTACACATTGTACTTAGAAAAACCTTTCCTTTTCTTTTAAAATCCCAAACCATTAATTCTCTAGGGGGATGTGAGAATAACTCTAGCCTGCCTATACTGTCAGGCAACAAAAAGTTTTATTCTACAAAAATTGGAGAAGTTGCCCTATTGTAGCTAGAAATAATGTGATATTGGTAGCATACTTCAAGCAAACATACTGGGCAGATTTACAAATTTTCTAAAGTGATATCCTATTTACTGTGTAAGTATCACTGAAATACTGGTAAGTTAAGGAATTAAAGGGCCAGGGAGATGGCTCAGTGGGATAAGCGCTTCCCTGGCAAGCACAAGGGCCTGAGTTCAATTCCCGGTTCTGCCAACAAATAAATAAATAAATTTAATTAAAGTAGGAATAGGTGGATGGTGGAGAGGAAAGAAAGAGGGCAGAGGCTGCCTTCCTTTAGACCTTACACACAGTCCCAAGACTTAGGGACTTGATCCATAAACAAATTATCTATTGTTACATAAACAAATAAACATAGCAGCTTAAAGTCAAAACAATTATACCACAGAAATATATTTGCACCCATGTTTATAGCAGTGCAATTTGTCATAGCTAAATCTTGGAAGCAACCCAAATGCCCATCAGCTGAGGAATGGATAAAAAAGATGTGATAGCTTTATACAATGGAGAATTATTCAGCTACAAAGAAAGATAAACTTGAGGGTTTTATAGGTAGGTGGATGCAACTAGAGACCAGACTCATAAGTGAAATAAATCAGACCCACATGTATAAACATAGTATTACCCCCTAGTGTAAGAACTTGAAATAGTAAATAAATCCAAAAGGTACAGTAGATATTGTGAAAGGGAAAGAAACTGCTCAAAGGGAAGGCACAACTTGGGATGAGAGAAAGGAAAAAAGAAAGAAGAAAGGGGGGGGGGGAAATGTATATGTATATACTAAGATAGTGGGGATAATCGTACTACTGATTTCTATTGGTTTATTGAAAGGAAAGTCAATGCTTAAATTTTTTTTTCCCTTGGGCAGCTCCTTTTTTCCCTACAGTCTTCACATGCTTTTTCGCATAGCCAGATTTCTTTCAAGGCGGCTCAGAACTTCAAAGATTGATGTAGATCCCCAGCGAGACAGCCAAGTGGAAACGCGTTTTCCAGTCTAGCCTCAAGAGTTGAAGGCAGTCATGAGTTCCTGGCCAGATTCATGCAGACACAAAAACACCTCTTGATGAGAAGTGCACCGTAGAGTCTGTGGACATGCTTTTAAATAACCACAGGACTTCACAGACCTCTGGCGGGCAGCCTGGAACACTGTAATGAGTCACTCACTAAACCACAAACTGGTTCACTGCGGTCCTTTCTGCTGTGGTAACAGGACAGTGCAGTGTTTCAGAGTGGCCGCTCCTGCATGCCTTTCTACTGACACTTAGGAGACCTGGAACTCTAACCTGTTTTCTTTTGATGCCTTTTTCTTTCACCCTGAAAATAACCCCAGGAAGAAGAACTTATCTACCTCCTGTCACAGAGTTAGTAAAAGAGAGGCACCTCGCAGGTCTAAGGTAGAACTCTGCTAAGGTCAACTCTAGCGCCACCGCCCAGGAGGGTGAGCCGTTTCCAGCAGCGGAGCCCACAGGGAGAAAGCCACGCGGGAGGGCAGATTGCTCCTAGCAGAGCGCGAACAAGTCGGGGCAGCGCTGCTAACGTTCCTGGATGGAAACAAAACATGCAGTGGGGGCGACGGGTTCTGGACTTGGACCATTCCTGGGGACTGGGCTCACCCCGTACTGAGCTCGCTAACGCGAGCGTGTATCTTTGCCCTGAAAAGGGGATTTCCCGTCCTTGCCCAGGGCCAGGGGCCCGCGAGCGGACGGGGCCTCGCGCCGACGCCCCTCTCGGAGGCTCGGTCCCCGCCTGCCCTGCGCCCCCGTGGCGCCCCCGAGCTCCCGGACTCCAGGGACCACTGTTCCCCCGCGCCACAGCGCCCACGCGGGCGACCCCACAGCGCCAGTCCTCCGCGCTCGGGAAAACCCTCGCGGCGCCGCGCGGACTGGGCATGCTCCGCGGCCGCAGGTCGGCGGCGGGCGGCTGAGCGCTCGCGGGTTCCCGCCGCGCCGCGCGTCCTCGCTCGCCTCGCGCGCATGATGGCGGCCGCGGGCGGCGGCAGCGGCAGCGGCAGCAGCGACACGGCCAGCACGGGCGAGGAGGAGCGCGTGCGACGCCTGTTCCAGACTTGCGACGGCGACGGCGACGGCTACATCAGCAGGTACGCGGGGCGTTGCCGGCCGGCGGCTCGGCCCGCCCTCAGCGCCGCCCTCGGCCCTGGCGCTCGCGCCGCGAACTTCCGCGAGTTGCTCGGACGCTCGCGGAGAAGTTGGGGCGCAGCGGGGAGCGCCAGAGCCTGCCGCTCTGCGCGCCTGCTGGAGGTGCCAGCTGGTCCAGCTTTCCCAGCGCCGTCTTTGTGTGGGTTCGGAAACCTCCGTGCGGCTGCGAGCCCTCCCGGGTTGCTCCTCGGTGGGTGCGCGCCGAAGCCCGCCCGAGCCCTGGGGTGCGCTGCGAAGGCTACGGGGGTGGGGTGGGGGCCGCCCGGGGGCCGCGCTGGGAGAGAGGTATACTCTCAGCGACAGACTCGGACTGGGAAATAACTGGTGAAGAACTTCTCTGTGCCACTGAGTTCCTTATTCCAAACTTACGGAGTTCAGAGAGTGGGTCCAAAGTGTCACCCGGTATTGATTTGAAACACTGTGGCCGGAGCGCAACACAGCGCTCCGGGGCAAACTGGAGCTCTGCGCGCTGACCAGCTTGCGCGGCGACCTGTCGGGACGCCTTTGCCCTCTGTCGCTCACCGCGTAGGGGCGGAGTCCTGCATCACCACTGCACGCGAGGACTTAGCTCAGTCCTGGATCCAATCCCCAGTACCAGCAGGTGAAACAGCAATGTACATTTAAGTTTCAATGCACAACATAATTTACTTTCACATGGATAAGAGGGCCGATAGGAATTTGGCCGCATTTTGTCCTTCTCTTTCTCCAATTTGGCCTGATGATACTGTATATTGCTTTATGTGAGCTACACTTGCCACATCAGTGCTCATCTCATTTTCAGTCATGGGCTGTGTTTACCCGGAGGGATAATGAATTTTATAAACAAAATTCAAGGACTTTGTTTTGGAAGTTGAGGCATTGTATGTAAAGAAGGTGGTACTAAAGTATAGATTTTGAGGTAGAACAGAAATCATCTGGGGCAAAGGTGGAAAAAGCTGTTGACATTCCTTCAGCTATATCATTTCTGCTTGAAATTTGTAAGGTATGTGCAGTAACTGACCCTGAACCCTAACTTTAACAGTGGGTGGAGTTATCTAGGAGATTATGTGCCAGCAGAATTTCCATGTGGGAGGAATACAGGCATGGGGGTCTTACTGAAAGTAGGCTCGAAAGCATTTGTGTGGAAATGTGTTCACAGACAAGCACTGTTTTACCTGGAATATAGTTACTGGGATGGCTTGGGAAATGGGTTCAGTGAGGACGGGGCATTCAGAAATTATCCCTCTGGGCTGTTTCCATTTAATAGCCTTTATTCTCTATAGTGGATTATAAAATTTGGAGTGCTATGATTTTTTAATTAATATATGAATTCGGTTTTCTCTATTAAAATTTAAAAATTTCTGGAAGCTTCTAAATATGCAAAGTTTATACTTATGGTATATAGGTGTGTAACATAGAAACCTAACCACAATCAAGTAAGGATTGACTTTGTCACCTATTGAGTCTGGAACTGAACTACTCAGACATGGGTATCAGCCTGATAGTCATAATGGTGCTAAGCTTCCTTCTAACTTTCTCCAATGCCATTCTTCATGTAGAGCACTCATCAAAGTACAAAGATGACAATTCTATCTCCAGCCTCATTCTCAAGTTTTAAGGAAGAAGATGTGAAAGGAAGTATAGCATCTATATCACTAAAGCAGAGATCCCCAAAGTCGTTTATCGTTCACACTCCAACACCTACCATGCCTTCTTGCAGTAGAGTCTGAGAAAGTGTACGATTTCTAGGCACATTATATTCTAAACAAAAATCTGAGCTATGGTAATAAAAGCAGGAAATAGATTCTTGGCAAGAAGAAGCAATAAATGCATATAATAAAGCCTGCATGAAAAACTGGCTTTATTATAATAAACTGGCTTTATTATTTTGGATCTGGTCCTTTGCTTAGCCATTATTGTAAAGAAGAGTGGACTGGAAATACCATGTGTGGAGAAATGACATTGAGGCAAGGAAGTGAATTCCAGAGAATTAAAAGCTGGGACTTTGTGTCTCCAGCATTTTCTTGGATAGTCTTCCCCTTTATACTGGCATCCCTGCCCGCCCCCCCCAAAAAAAAGTTAAAAAGAAGAACAGGACAATAGCTAGCTGGAGATTTTTGGAATTGCTGCTTTTACCAAGGTACTTCCTCGTCAAATGAACATGAAATCACCCCTATCAGTAGTCAAGGCAGAGCTGAAAACTACCACCAAGTGGCCGAACTGCTCCTGGGAAAGGGTAGGATTTTGGTAGCACAGGAACACTGCATTGAATTTTTTTTTTGGCGGTGGGGGGTGGTCCTAGAAATTAAGCTCAGGACCTTGGGCTTGCCAGGTTGTGCTGTGCCACTGAGCTACATCCCCAGTCCTGTGGTAGGTTCTTCTAGTTCATTTCATTAACTTTATAATGATCCCATATTTCATGATAGTGAATGTTTCAGACTCTACATATCATATGAAAAAAGTTATTCTATTTGTGGAAATAACTTTTTTTGGAGTTTTACATCTTTTTGTCTTTTCAGTGTATGAAAGTGCTTATTTTGAAGTCATCTTTAACAAATATTTAAGGCAAATGTTTAAATATTAATATTATCCCCAAATCTCAATTTAGATATTTCTTCTTAGAGAAATTTGTGAAACCCAAATCCTGTGCTGTTTACCTCTTATTCTCTAGTCTTTCCAAATACCCCTAAACATAAGAAACAACTAATATATTTTTAAATATATAAATATATCTATTCTGGACATTTCATATAAATGGAATAAGGTAATATGTGGCTTTTGTGACTGGCTTATGTTACTTTTTTTAAAGGGTAATCCATGTTAATGTACGTATAATAATTTGTTCATTTTTATGATTAAATAATTTTTCATCTTAAAGAGACAACATACTTTTATTCATTCATAAGATGATGAACATTAGGTTATTTACATTTTTGGACTTTTAAATAATGCTTCTGTAAACACATGTATAAGTATTTGTATGGACATACTTTCAGTTTTCTTGGGTATATATCTAGGGGTAGGTTTGCTGGATCGTATGTCAATTCTATTTTATGTTGTTGAGGAATTTCTAGGCTGTTTTCAAAATAGCTGTACCATTTACCTTCCTACAAGCAGTGTGTGAAGGTTTTTATTTATATTTTTAATGCTTCTTATCTGACTTTTTGATTATGATTATCCTGTTGGTATAAAGTGGTACCTCATTATAGCTCCTATTTGCATTTGCCTAGTTGCTAATGATGTTAAGTAGGTTGAGCATGTGTTTATTGGCCATTTGTATGTTTTCTTTGGAGAAATGTCTACTTAGAAACTTTATCCATTCTTAAATCAGGTTGTCTTATTATAATTTTTACAATGGTTGCAAAAATTGACAAACTAATCCTAAAATTCATGTGAAAACTCAAGGACACCAAAATAGTCAATCTGAAAAAGAACAAAATTGAATATTTCACACTTTCTGCTTCAAAATGTAATCCAAAGCAACAATAATCAGTACAGTGTACTAGATGCATCAAAAAGAGAAAATAGGCCGGGGAGATGGCTCTGTAGAATAAGCGCTTGACTGGCAAGCACAGGGCCTGAATTCAATCCTCAGTTCCGCAAAAAAAAGAAAAAAGAAAAGAAAACTACAGTATATCCTTATTGAACAGATACAAAAATCTTTAGCAGAACACTAGCAAATCAAATGCAATAGCACATTAAAAATATTATTCACTATGATCAAGTGAAATTAAACCCAGAGGTTCATGGATGGTTCAATATAAACAAGTTAATAAGCATGATACACTGTATCAATAGAATGAAGGGCAAATGGCCTGCTAGATAGCTCAGGGGACTAAAGTGCCTGCTTAGGCAGGTGCAGAGAAAGGGGGTTGATCTCTGGTGTGCTGAGCTGGCCCCACCCCCAGGGCAAGCCGAGAAAGTGAATGAGACTGGGTGTGGTGGTGCACGCCTGTAATCCTAGCACTTGGGAGGCTGAAAACAGGAGGATCACTACAAGTCCAATCGCTGTAGTGAGACCCTGTAGACACTGTACTAAATACATTTTTTAAAAAAAGAATGAAGGGCAAAAACCATATGCTCCTCTCAGTTGATGCCAAAGGGGTGGTGTTCAATAAAATTCAACATCCCTTTATGAAAATTTTGAACAAATTAGATATTCTAGGAATGTACCTCAACATAATAGAACCATTCAGAATAACAATTAAAAGAAATAGAGAAAAGCTGAAATCTATATCTAAGATTAATAAGAATGTTCACTTTTACCACTTCATCTCAACATAGTACTAAAAGACTTAACAAGAGTTAACCAAGAGTTTTAGGTTAGGCAAGAGATTGAAATCAAGGACTTACAAATTGAAAAAGAAGTCAAATTATCATTGTTTTCAAATGACAAGATTTCATATAGAAACCCCCCACAATTCCACAAAAGCTACTCGAACCAGAATTGAGCAAAGTTGCCGGATATAAAAATCAACATTCAAAAATCAGTAGCACTGTTACATGCCAGTAGCAAATTATCTGATATAAAAATCATGAAAGCATTTATAATAGCTACAAAAAAAGAAAATAGTTGTGAATAAGTTTAACCAAAGAAGTGAAAGATCTCTACAATGCATATTATAAAACACTCATGAAAGAAATTTAGGATGATGTAAAAAAGTGAAAATATTCCTTATGCTTATGGATTGGAAAAATAAATATTATTAAAAAAATCCATAGTACCTAAAGCAATTTACAGATTCAGTATAATCTCTATCAAAATACCAGTGGCATTTCACAGAACTAGAAAAAACAATTCTAAAATTGATATGGAACTATAAAAATATTGTAATAGCCAAAGCCATTTTGATCAAAAGTAATAAAGCAGGAAATATACTGTATGACTTCAGAATATTCAAAACAGCATGATATTGACATGAACACAGACACATAAACCAATGGGACAGAATGGAGTCTGCAA